CCAATAAACGAAAAAAAAAAAAAAAAAAAAAAAAGAAGCAAGAGGTTCAATTCAAGAAATAGGATACAGCAAGTACCTCCATAGAAAGTCCATATGTTGCTCCATTAGGTTTTAAACCATTCTTTCTCAATTGTGTGAACACCCAGTAGACACTTTTCCACTCAAGGGTGGGAACGCATGCGTTCAAAATCTAGCAGTAATTTTAGGGGGATTAGCTACTTCTACTAGTATAATGACTGAACAATGAAAAAAAGGTAGTACTACTAGTAATTCATGTCACGTGGAGTATTTTAGCATTCCTTTAAATACATCGAATTTCTAAGGACGTGTCAAAACGCTACATAAATATGGTATCTTACAGCGTTATATATAACAAGGTCAGGTTCAACTGCAGGATCCCAATATTTACGGCACATGTTTCTAACTTTTTTAGACGGTTGCTGCCTCATGTATTCAATAATTTTCAGCAATTGTTTCAAGAGACCAGCTTGACCCAGCGTCACAGCTATACTGTGATATGCAGCCATATCAGGATATATCTGGCCATCTCCCTGAATAAGATAACTATATCATATCTAACAACATCACATACATAAAGAAAAAAGAAAGGAATATGAAGGACAAACGCATTACAACATTACTCTCATCAAATTAAATATCTGAAGGGCTTCCTGTGGTTTCCTTGCCTTCCCAAGAACAGCTAAAAGTTTTGTATAGACAAACCTGCAAAAGGTACAAGTTCTTTAATAACAGAAAAACACTGACTTCATGAGTGAACTCAAAAATGAAGCTAATACATTGACCAAAACATGTATGAGTAGAAATGAATCAAAAGTGAGGAAGTTTCCAACAAAGAAGGTAATAGACAACATTCGCCTGTCTAGTTTTTCACATATGTAATTCAGTATGGATAAAGGAACTTACCTGCTTTTAGAATGGCTGTGACTTTTAAGATTGTACACCCACTCAACCACTGATAAGGCCTGTTTCCAGCATCCCTTGGCACCAAGAGCATCCAAAATTTTAAGTAGTTGACCTTCATTAAACTGCAATCCTGACTGTATCATCATCCTTGAGAATTTCCAATCTCTCATGGAAATTGGTCTCGAACTAAGCCTGAAAATAGTAACGTTGCTATCTTGAGTTATCTAACATTTCATAGTCGTCGGTATTTGATTAGAAACCGAAATTAACCAATACAAACCTATCAACAAGGAACCGAATAACCTCTCCGTCGCCGCGCCTCCGTTTCACGGCGTCAGAATGACCATTTTCACTACCCAACCACTCGTCCTTCAGTTCCACATCGTCGTCTAAAACCCACTGCAATTCCTCGAGCTTACGAGCCTCAAACAGCTTCCTCAATTCTCTCAAACTTTCCTTCTTCAGATTATCCCGATTGTACTCCGTTCTAAAACCGGTAAGCTCTTTAAGGTTAACTCTTTCCAGTCTCTCCCAAGGCCTTCCGACCATCAAGCCACCGGCTGGTCTAGCCTCAATGGCCTTAGAGAACTCCTTGTACTCGCTTCTCAACGTCAGAAATTGAGTTTCCTCCTGGATTAGCTGCTTCTGGGACTCAGAAAGGGGTGGCGACTGAGCGTCTTGTCGTTCGGCCAGTCGCTTGAGTTTGCGATTGTGCTTCTGAATTTCTTTCTTGCAGAGTGAGCGGACGATTTTGGGAGTGGGATGGACACCCTTCTGGAGGAGCGTTCGCTTAATTTTCTCGATATCAGGTTCAAACTTCGGGGAAGGAACTGATGCATTTGTGCTCAAAGCTTCCATTTCTGGTGGCGAAGATTCCACAGAAATTGCTTGCGATAGAAAGGCGCTACTACTTATACATGCCTTCAATCCCGCGCCCGCAAGAACACAGCCTTCCTCACGATTACTTAAATTATATCTCAAACGCATCCATCATCCTCCTCAAAAGTTCTTAAAGTTCAAAAATTAAATAATAAAGATATTAAATTGTAAAAAAAAAAAAAAAAAAAAAAAATACAAACCGAGTATAAATATTCGAGAAATAATGAGAATAATAGGATTGAAATTTAAAAGATAAAAAAAAGTTTAATGATGAAGGAAGAACATAGAATAATCTTCCAATTGGAAGTATGTCTGTCATCCGCCACAGCTACAAGAGTGGGATGAAAATGAAAGAAAAAAGAATAAAAGAATGGTGCATATAGCAAGGGAATAGATATTCAAATTTAACGAAGCAATCGTAGACCACCGACTTTATGGCCACTAATATATAATACATAGAAATCACAGAGCTAAACTACAGTCCGACAGACAAACAACGGCCTCACTAAATCTATGTGGTTGAAGAAACGTGCTTCTCTGTGCTTTGATGTGGGTTTGTTTATACTCATACTTTAATAGTCTTCAACACAGCAGCAATGGGCATGCCTAGGAATCCAATCGCAACGCTGAACAGCCACTGCGACGAATCCAGATGGGTTGTGCTTGCAAATGTTCCCAGGAATTCGATGATTATGATTTGGAAGATGATGGTGGAAGCAATCACAAGCACAAACACATAGTTATCAAGTATGCCTTTCAAGACATTGATTTTGTCCATCTCCCTCGAACTTACTTCGTTGAAAATCTGCCACAAAAAAGAAATTAAGTTTGGATATGTGGGTTGCGTTTGAAAATCATTTGGTTTTTTACAATAATTTTCATCTTCGACAAGAAAATATTTGAATTCATATCCAAATTCTAAAATCAATAACGGTCACGTACCTGACAGAACACAAAGGAATTGAAGATGAGTGTATTCAGTATCAGATCAGAGTCAGGGCCGTCTAGATTGAACGCTTCTTTCCCTTTGGCCTGTAAAAGCCATATCACAATTAACTGATAAAAGGACTGGCCCATGATATTTCTCCACATGACATTGCTGATAAAGCTTCCTCTCCTCCCAACAGGTAAGCGCTTCATCAAGCCATCATTTGGAGGCTCAGTGGCGAGAGCCAGCGCTCCAAGTGTATCCATAATCATGTTCACCCACAAGAGCTGGACTGCAGTAAGAGGAGCATTACCTGAAGCAATGTTTTCACACCAAAAGGTTAGCAGAAGAAGGAAGACAAGAATTATTGGGCCTAATAAAAATAAGTGAACCAAGCAAATAGGAGGTGCTTAGACATTTAACCTGTCAAACATGCTGAAGAGAAGTTTACGATCAACGCCACTATGTTAACAGTCAGCTGGAATTGCACAAATTTTTGAATATTTATGTAAACGGAACGACCCCATTTTCCCACAGTCACTATTGTAGAGAAATTATCATCAAGAATGATCACATCAGCACTCTCTTTGGCGACCTGAAAGCCAGAAACCGAGGTCCATCAAGCAGTCTTAACGGCAGATAATATCGTAAACTAATGCAGATATGTTTTCTTGGAGTTCAAGTAGCTCGATGTTAAACTCACCTCAGTTCCAGCGATGCCCATTGCTAGTCCAATATCTGCTTCGTGAAGTGCAGGAGCATCATTTGTCCCATCACCAGTAACAGCAACAACTTCATCAAAGGTGGTCCGCAAATGCTTGACCAGAGTGTGCTTATCTAGAGGTGAAGATCGAGCCATCACCTACATAAAAATTAGGAGTTTTCTTAACTGTGAATCAGATAAACTAATTATGGGAAACTGGAGGATGCAGAGATATTAGGAAAACAACTAAGCACCTGAATTTTGGGAATGATTTGAAGCAATTCCTCTTGAGTTTTCTCTCTGAAATCTGGACCCTCAATGGCTATACCATCATCAGTGAGAATTCCACATTCCCTAGCAATAGCTTTTGCAGTATTGATATTGTCACCAGTAACCATTCGTACAGTAATACCAGCTGAACGACAAGTTGCAACAGACTCCTTAACACCAGGACGAACAGGATCTTTAATTCCCACAATTCCTATACAGGTATAACCAGAAACTGGAATGGGATCATTGACAGAGAATCCCTTTTCCAGTTCCATATAGGCAAGGCAAAGTGTTCGGAGAGCCTCGCCAGCAAATTGATTGATAGTAGCATTGAGATGCTTGATGGAAGCTTCATCTAAAGGAACAGCCTCACCACTCGAGTTGATCACCTTGTCACAGGCAGCCAATACTATTTCCGAGGCCCCTTTAGTGTGAGCACGGAAACCACCTTCAGGAAATTGAAGGACAACACCCATCCGCTTTTTTGAAGAGTTGAACGGCTCAACTTTAATAAGCTTTGTTGCCTGTCTCTCAGCCTGAAAATCCCCACCAAGTGAGAGACCAAACTCTAATATTGCAGTCTCAGTGGGAGTGCCCAACAACTCACGTTTGCCTTCTTTGTTGATTACAACTTCTCCTCCAGTGTTGTTGAATATTGATTGTACCAGAAGTTTGACAACAGAGGCTGGAAGGTCAGAACAGAAGCCTGACGCGTTATTACTCGATTCCTTGACATTCATGCAAATGCATGATTTGACTACTGTCATGTGATTTGTAGTGATTGTTCCGGTTTTGTCACTACAGATACTTGTGGCGGAACCCATAGTTTCACAAGCTGCCAGGTGACGGACAAGTGCCTTATCATTCATCATTTTCTTCATGGCAAAGGCAAGACTTAATGTCACAGCCAAAGGAAGCCCTTCTGGAACAGCAACAACAACAATTGTGACTGCAACAGCAAAGAATTCCAATATCTCTAATGCATCATCTCCAGACCAGCTCCAGTGAGTCCCTTCTCGGAGTTTACGGCTAAGCATTCCTTGAACCAACACAGCGAAGGTGATGATGGCAAAGAACAGACCTATTTTCCCAATAATTGTTGCTACCCCATTCAATTTTACCTGCAATGGAGTTTCGTCATCTCCACCTTCACTAAGAGTGGCCATCAGCTTACCCCATTGGGTTCTCATCCCAACAGTAGTGACCATCATCTTGCAGGATCCATCTTGAACTTTAGTTCCTGAAAGAAGATAAGGGTTTTCTGTACTCACCATCACTGGCTCACTTTCTCCAGTCAAACTTGACTCATCAATCAACACAGAAAACCCTGAAACGAATAGTCCATCGGCGGGGACCTGATCACCAATAGACAAGTGTACAATATCTCCAGGAAGTAAATCGTAGATCGACATTTTCTGTCTATAACTATTCCTTGTGACCTGAATTGATATCTTCTTTTTCTCCTTATCCAAGTCCTTGAACTGCAAGGATTGTCGATAATCGCTAGTTGCTGTGACAAACACAACTAATAAGATACTAGCCACAATTCCAAGGCCATCGTGAGCCCCATGAGGCCATCCTTCTGTTATTATGCCAACCACCAAAGAGACGAAAGCACAGAGTCCAAGGATCATGAGAGTCATGTCTTGGAGGGCTTCCCAAACAAACACCAAGAAACTCCTCTGTTCACTCTCAGCAAATTTATTAACTCCATAAATCTCTTGCCTACGGTTGAGTGCATCAGCATCTCCATCAAGCCCGTTTGTTGTTGATGTACAGAGCTTCCCAGCAATCCCTTCAACCCCACCATGATATTTAAGCTTCTTTGGATCATGGCCTTCCACAATAGACCCGAGTTCATCAGCACAAATATGGAAACCTGCAGCTTTGACTGCCTCCGGAAGGGTATAATCACTTAGTTGCACGCCTAAGATACCATAAAAAACTCCATCAAATATGCGAAAATCTCCTCACGTAACCGCATTACTTCATCAAAACTCCAGAAATACTCACCTTGAATGAATTGAAATGCAGCTTTTGAGACTAAAACCGCGATCCTCAACTTCTCCTACAATAAATGGAGTGGATAAGTCAGTTCATAGCAGAAGAAAAAACTGGGTGAGAAACAGGCATAGGTAAAGTGGTCGGGTTCCTTGCGTTGCAGAAGCAAAAATTGTTATCATGTTCATCTTAAACAAACTGAATGGTCATGGTTACATCATCACTCAACCTAAAAGCTTAAGGTGATGGGTTACGTAAATCTAATCTTAATACATTGACTCGTGGACTTAATTAGCACAAAACCAAAATGCTTTTTTCTTTTGTTTGGGTGAGTTTAGCCCCATGAGCAGCTATCAATAGTATTTGGGAAGTAATAAGATGAAAGGGGTTCAAATAGGGAACCGTTAGCTTTGATATCATGTAGGGTTCAAATGACAGGTTATTGAAAAATTAATCATATATTCACAATGAGAGTGAAAATGAGCAGAGATAATCGTTGATAGAATGGAAATACGAAGAGGAACCTGATTATTCTGGCGCATAGCAGCCGCTTCGCCACGCTTGGAGAGATTGGCAGTGAATCGAAACCTCCTTTTGGGATTCTTGACCACTCCACAAAGGTCCCTCCACTTCTGCAGCACCTCGTCAGACGAGTTTTTGGGCTTGACGGCCCCGAAATTCTCCTCCAAAAACCTTTCCATTTTTCTGAGTGAGTGAGTGAAAATAAATTCTTAGGTATCCGCAGTTATATAAAGAAAGGAAACGAAGGAAGTCCTGACGCAAATTCAATGTCACTTTCGACGGAGGTAGCCCGGACTTGCAGCGATGCTTCGTGAAAATAACAAATTACGATAGTTACCAGAAATTAACACCAACAATTTATAACGATAATAATAACGCGTAAGGCGAAGTACAGAATCTCTATCTTCCTCTCTCTCTCTCTCTCTCTACGTCGCCATTTTTGGATTCAGAAACAAAATCCAAAACAAAGAATTGCAGAGGAGGAAGAAGAATGGAAGGGGTAAAGGAATTAGTATACGTTAATCAAACAATTGAGCGTCGATCCGAAATTTTTTGCATTACTTTAGTTCTCTGGTCTCCTGTTTCTTGGACTCGTTCTTAATCCATTCCAATTTCCCGAAATTTCATCCATTTTTTTTTCTTTTTTCTTTTTTCTTTTTTCTTTTTCTTGGCAAGATCCATCAAGGCCTTTCTTACTTTATTACGAACTCCATTAAAATCTTCATTAAAGTTAAGCAGTTTTGGTCCGTTTAATATAATATAACTTAAATTGAATTATTAAAAATAAATGTCTCTCCATTGATTCGAAATACTTTCCTTTTAATTATAAGATATTTTATTATTTATATTTTTGTAGTCACTTTATTTGTGTTTGAACGTACACAATGACAATTGGGTGAAATTGAAATTAATATAATGTTTTTAAAAAAGTTGAAATTTCATTGCAGGAAATGACGGAAATGGGTACGACGCGTTATCCTTTAGATAAAAGACAAAAAGGAAGAAGATGTAAAAAGCCTTCATAAAAGCTGCTTTTCTTACGCGTTCAATGCGTGGATTTCCCGCCAAGTTTCTACTTCTGCGAGGGGCAATCATCGGTACCTTTAAATTTCAAGATTTAATTTGTAAGTTGATAAGCTTTTTTTTTTTTTTTAATGTACTTTAATTTATCCACAAATATAATTTTTCTGTATACAATAAAGTCAAATAATTAAAACTTCATTAAAATTTTGTTTCAAAATTTTTTAATAGATAACTTTCACCTTTAAATATAAGAATTAATCTAAATTGCAATTTTTTCAAGAAATTTTGGGTGTTTTTCAGCTATTCATCTTCCTTTTAAATACCACTTTAAAAATTTAGAATCATAAATTAATATTTTTGAGAAAAGAAAATCCAAAGAAAATCCATTAATCAAAGGATGAGAACGCCATGAAGACTACACTTGTCCTATCGTCAAAAGCTTATAGAAGTACTTTCGGTGCCTTACAGGTATCTCCAAAATCATATAACCTAAAGTTTTTCTTAATTATTAAGTAATTCAGCACGAACTATGGTAGCTTCACAGGAATAGGAATGAGAAAAAAGGGAACCATGGACTGGGCAAGGACCGAAGGGACTTTCCATGAAAAGTGCAATGCAATGGCCCAGTAATGTCCATGTTGTGTGAATTCAGTCAAGTGATAAAAGTCCATGCGGGTCAATGAAGTCAAAGTCAACTAGGAATTATAATAAAATGGCAGTATACAATTATGTATGAGTCATGAAGTTTAAAGCCCTGGAATTGATTTCGTGAAATTCGTTAATGATGAATATTACTCAGAATGATGTTTTACTTTTAGCCGACTTAACATTTACAGCTAAAAGAAGAATGAAGCACTAGCTTAGTACCTAAACAAAACATCATCCCATATAGCTCAAAATCTTACCAAGATCGAAAGAAGGCTTGAACATGAGATAACTTTGAAAGAGGGCATGTCAAGTAGCAAGCTGAGTTATTACTTCTGAGAGAATTGCCACTCTGCTCCTTAACATGTGAAGAACTTGGCGTCCAGAATGAGTATTCGTCAGCCTTATGTAATCGTGTTATTGTACCAAAAATCACAAGTTGCCCATTACGATTAAGAGCATAGCACGATGGTCTGTGTAAAGCCACATTTCACTTAAGAAAGACAGTGAAATAACTCGAAGAACACTCGGGCAACTAGGCTTCAGCTAAATCACCAATCGCAGGTGATCACTATTTGAATTTTGAGAAGATTCTTGAATTCGTCAGAAGACCAATGAAATATTTATTCTAGTTTTGTAACATTACCAACACCACGGCCAACAACCTCTAAAACAACGATGACCAGAAAAACATTAGTCCAAGCAATTTCAAATATTTTCTAGGAATCATAATGTATTAGTAACAAGTTCGTAAACCATTAGTCTAAGCAATCACGAAACACGAAAATGTATATCTATACCAAGGAATAGAGGAGTTATTCATTGGATCGAATTATAGAAAAATGTATTCAATTCATAACATATACTTCGTGCTCCGGAGAGACAGGAAAACAATGGAAAAGTGAATGCCAAAAGTTGAGCGGTAAAAGGCCACTGTCCACATAGATAAATCATCATCTACTACAAATAAGTAACTGCAGTTCCATCAAACAAGCAAATGTAACGAGAGGTAACAACGGTATGAATCGAACAGGAGGAGTAGATCATTGGAATAACAAAATGTGATTGATTTAAAAATACCATAAATTAAGGCCTCCAAAGTCGACAATTATAGCCACATGTCCGATGAAATTTTTTTAGTATCTTAAGAACACAAAACAAGCTAGGTAACTATGAAAGAGAACAACAGTTCTATCAAATTAAACATCACCATTTCCAAAATTAGTCGACGCTCTGCATGATATCCTCGGCGGTGAACTTGGTACCCTTGTCCTTATCAGAGGCGGCGCGGCCCTTGCCTTTACGATCCAGAAGTGACTTTCGGTCCTTGTCCAGCCTGAGCTTCGTAATCACGACCTTCGAGGGGTTGATGCCAACATTGACAGTGGAACCGTTAACCTTTTCGCGAGTGATGCGCTCGATGTGGATAACCCACTTTTTACGATACACCTGCACTACCTTGCCCTCCCGACCCTTGTAAGTTCCACGGACAACTTGGACCTCATCATCCTTCCGAATCGGCATGGATCGGACGTTGTACTTTGACCGGAGGTCAGTCGAGAGAGGAGCACTCATAATAACCCGACGAACGCTCGACGGCGCCGAAAAATGAGCCTTACGGCTCTTGCGGCGGGAACTGGAAACCCTAGGATTGTACTTCATGGCGGGCGGAGATAGTGGGAAGGGGGAAGGGGAGCACTATCGAGTGGAGGACGATTTTAGGGTTTCTCTTTCTTTTATACATACAATTGCCAAATACTTTGGGCCAATGCTTTGTTGGATTAGCTTCAATGGGCCTTAATTTGGACTTGAAACTTGCGGGCCCAAACTTGACTTCCAAAAAAGGTTAATTGTTTGAAAAACATTATAAAATATATAGCGCATGTTTGAATATGTTCGAATATATACTATTTTATACATTCCGCTCTCAAACTTTAAATTTAGAATCCTGAACTTTTAAATTTTGTGTCACGTAGATAACTCTCTCTCGGACTAATTTTGCTAACCTTTTTTTTTATGTTCGGCAATGAGAAGGCCAATCGAACCCCTTTCTTCTTTCTTAGGCCTTCTCACTAATTATCCCTACAGCTTCATTTCCTTCTCCAACTCCATTGACTTGTCACTAGGAGAAGCTTTTTGAGCATACCCTCATGATGGTGTTCGAGGAAGATCACCAGTCCTATCCCTAGTAAAACTTATGCCGACATTGGAGACGATTACAATGTCTAAATAGATTTTGGACGGTAGAAAAGAAAAGAATTTGGCAAGCTTGAAGTGGGTTAACATGTCAAATTTTTTTACATTATTTAAAAATGTATATTTACTTCTTAAAAGTGATACGTTTTAATTTTGTGTACACATATTGGTTTATTTGTACCCGGAAAAAACAAAACATAGTATCATTCAATTGTCATCCCGATGGTAATATGGGTGTAACTATGGACAAGAAAATGGGCCACATAATTTTCTCCAAATTGCTCGACACAAGGGAAGACTAGTAGACAAGACACGTATTCATTTCAACAAAAATTCAAAATGGAGGTTTCAATGGGAAAATAATTCAATTTTACAAGAAGAACAGAGAGAGAGAGAGAGAGAGAGAGAGAGAGAGAGGTAATTAAGGGGATGCAGCATTTAAGATGCATCACATGGCCGCCATTAATACACACACCCTCCCACCTCCACCTCCACCTCCACCCATTTAAACCCTCGCACAGCGCTTGGGTCGCAATTTCTCACCTCCACCTCCACCTCCTCTAATGAACCCAATTTCACAAGGCATCCAAATGCACTCCGCTAAAGACCATACTAAAAAAATGAAGGAAACAGAAGCCTTTTCCGTTTGGCAAAATCTCGGCGCTGTCGACACCATTTATGAAGAAGAATATGAATTTTCCTCCCCCTCCTCTTCTTCCCCCTCTCCTCCTCTCTCTCCGCCGCCTCCTCCTCCGCATCTCCACTCTACAGTTCACCAATGGTAACCTCTCTCTCTCTCTCTCTCTCCCAGAGCTTAAAGATCCATTTTTGTGGCTTATTATTTACTTAATTTCATTTCATTTTCACTAAGGTCTAAGGTAACTGGATTTAAGACAGATGTTTGTATTCGAGTTAATGGGAAGTGTTTCCATCTCCACAAGGTATTTCTAATTTCCACATTTTTGTAGTTTTAAGTTTTTTAGTGTCTTACCCACATTTCCAATTCAGTTTATGGGTTTTTTTTTTTTTAAATTTTAAAGAATAACGTGAAATTAAGAGAAATATACATATTCATGATCCAATTATTAAATAAAATTAGCGTTATTTATCAAATTATTAAGCTTTGAGGAAATGAATATGAGCATTAATTTCTAAAACATTCTATTTAACGGGGGAATAAAGTGGAAAACTTAAAGAAATTATTATTATTTAAAATAATAGGTAATTCTCCATTTAATTCTCGATAATAAGACATTTTATTATTGTCATGATCATTTTAAATAATTCAAGACAAGTGTAAAATCAGATGTAACGTTGTTGTTTTTTTCTTTGGGTTTATAATGAATTCATAAATTAAATGGAGAGTAATTGTATTTCAACGGAAACATGTGGGGGCTTTATCAGCAATTAATTACAAATGTGGGGACAGTTACCGTAATTTCAAAATTCTTCTTAGGATCCTCTGGCGTCTAAATGCCCGTATTTAAAGCGACAATTGGCCACTACGTTCGACGTAACGCTCACTCCACCGCTCAAAATTACGCCCCAAACCTTCATTATGGTGGCCGATTTTTGCTACGGTGCCCCGGTTCATATAACGCCATTTAACGTCGCCGCACTAAGAACCGCAGCGGAGTTGCTAGAGATGTCGGAGGCGGAGAATAATGCCGACGGTGAAAACTTGGTGAGTGTGACGGAGAAATACTTCCGCCGAGTTGTGGCCGTCAACCGCGACTACGCGTCGGTGGTGTTCCGGTCGTGCTTGGAGTTGCTGCCGGAGGCTGAAACGATGGCGGTTTTGGCTAGTAGATGTCTTGAAGCGTGGAATTTGGAGGATGAGGGCGATGGCGATGGCGATATTACTTGCTTTGAAGACTTCAAATCTGTGGAGGTCGAGAATTTTATGGTTCTGGCTTCGTCACTGAACCGCAGGCTTAAATGCCACGACCTAATCTATAAGCTAACTCTTCTGTATCTACAAGTAAGTGTCTTTAGTCCCACATTGATTAATTTAGAAAATAATTATGAATTTATAAGTAAATGGATTTATAAGTAAATGGATTTACTGTATACGTGGCAGGGATATGGCGGGAAGATCACAGAAAACCAAAAGGTACTAATATGCAATTTCATAGACTGCGACAAGCTATCCCCCAAGCTACTCCTACACGCAGTCCAAAACCCAGTAATGCCGCTGAGATTCGTGGTCCGAGCGATGCTAATCGAGCAGCTCAACACCCGTCACTCCATTTTCTCTGGTGCCGCTACTGCCAGCACCAAACCCCAAATCCCGCGTCCAATTTCCAAGGACCCACTCACGCTCGGCGCAATTCTCAAGCGAGACGCGGCTGCTCGTGAGTCCGCCAAGTTGAAGGCTGCGATGCAGGCTACAAACTCTCGCATACGAACGCTCGAAACCCAACTGTCCACCATGAAGAAGAAGCTCCAAGTGTCTGATGAGAAACAGAGGAGTTTGTCTGAGGATGCTGGCCGTGGCCGTTCCGCTAGCTTTCATTACGGCGTGGATAAGAGTAATAGTAGTAAGGGCGTGGCTAGAGGCCAACGAGGGTCCAGTTCCTCCTCTGTTTTCCGGCTGAGCGCTGATTTCAAGACGGATTATTATAAGTTTGGCGTTGGGTGCAAGCCGTTATCGGATCGTGCGTCGTCGTCGAGTCACGATGGGGGTCGGAAATCGGGGAGAAGTATTGGGCAGAGATTGATAAATGGGATTAAGAATGTGTTTCGGGTGTCGAGTTTAGGAGAGGCGGAGAGCAAAGTTCAAAGCAGAGATGAAGAAGACGAAGGGGAAGATTTGTGCGAAGAAGATGAAGACGATAATGATGAGATTGTTGTGATGAGAAGAAATCATCTTTATGTTAATTAGATTCTCTTAGTTTAATGCTTCTTAATTATTTTGTCGAACTCTTTTTCTTCTTCTTACCAAATTGTAAATGTAGGATCAAATGAGTAAATTAGCTGCTATGTGCCTCAACTCCTTTTTCGAGTTATTTGTTCGACATTTGAGGAGTTAAGTTTAAAACATGATTCTGATACCATTTTAGATGAACACTATTCTCAATAGTATATTGTATGACTCTGGCCTGTTAGAAGGCCTCATACCAACTAAGAGAGAGTATTTCTTGATTATAGACCAGGATCATTTTCTAAATTATCTGAGACTTTCGTTCAACCGGTAGAACTTGAAATATTACTACTATGAACATGTTTAATTATTTTTCAAATTTAGATTAAAATTATTTAAAAATTTCAAATTTTGAAGTACTAATTTTTTTTTCAAATTTAGGTTAAAATTATTTAAAACTTTCAAATTAGGAAGAACTACCCATCTAGTTAAGGTTGGCTGAAAAATTCAATTTAAATCACATTGTTCAAACTAATGTTATATTTGAGATTCTAAATTATTAAAATAAAATATATTTTTTAATTCGGAAAAAAGGAGATTATTTTGAATTATATTTCTCTTTAAATAAAACTATTAATAACTAAGCAAAATCTTTAAGCCAGAAAAAGAAAATCAAATGAGCCCTTGATAAATTGATATTTACTAATAATAATTAGATTAAACCAATTAAAATAATATATACATAAAGAATTCAAACCGATATGTCGAGTTGATATTATAGGCCGCCGTGTTATCGACGACATGTCGGCAACAAAATCAGCTTCCGCAACCTCATCTGGATTTTGAATCGGTGTCGAAGCAGGAGCCCTAATTGCAGAGATTCGCCAGCTTCTGAGTACGAAGCTTGAAGTGGAAAAGGAAGATGGGGAAGAAACAGCACAGTAAAGACCGTTTGTTTATTACGAAAACTGAATGGGCCACTGAATGGGGTGGCGCCAAACCCAAGGACTCTCAAACCCCTTTCAAACGGCTTCCTTTCTATTGCTGCGCGTAATTCATCATTCCTCTCTAATTTCCTCTACCGATCCTTCTTTTCCTGTACAGGATTGTTATTTACTTGTTGTTCATGCATCTCTCCTAAATTAACAGTTGCTGTTTAATGGTAGGCTTACATTTACACCCTTCGAGGACCCTGTATGTACCGCCGATGGCAGCGTCTTCGAGATAATGTAAGTTTAATAGGATTCACAGTAATTTGCTTTCTTGGTTTTCTTTTTTATTGTGCGAGTATAAGTAAATTCATTGTTCTTCAATTCAATTTGGAACTTGGATTCAGGAATATCATCCCTTATATTCGAAAGTATGGTAAAAATCCTGTTACTGGAGCTTCCCTAAAGCAGGAGGATCTAATTCCGCTGATTTTCCACAAGAATTCTGAAGGTTGGTATAGTTTTAAAACCTAATCATTTTGTTGCCTTGAGAAATCACATCATTGAATAATATTCCTGTTTATCAAATGTCATTACTCTGTCTGTGCTCTGGTCTAGGATTTTGCCATTGGGATTAGAGTTGACTGATATGTTTTAAAGTTCAGTAGTTCTGTAATTCAGAAAATATAAACGTTTCTGTTATTTAGAATTATATGCCTGGAAGATCACATTTTTTGTTGTGGATAATGCTGCCGCATTTTCACTTTGATGTAGGTGAGTTCCAGTGCCCTGTACTAAACAAAGTTTTTACGGAGTTCACACACATAGTTGCTATAAAGACCACTGGAAATGTCTTCTGCTACGAGGTATGTCATATCATGTGGTGCTCTCATTCGCAGCGATATTTTCTTGCTTCTTCTTGAAGTACTTGGAGCTGGATGCTTGGTTTTCTGACATTTCAACCTTATAGGCAGTTAAAAGAATTAAATATCAAGACAAAAAACTGGAAGGAACTTCTCACTGATGAACCATTTAGTAGGCAAGACATTATAACCATTCAGGTAAAAGGGTTCCAGAGTTTGTCCATTTTCAACTGTTTCTAAACCTGATAGTCAATTTTGTTTTTATTCGCAGAACCCTACTGCGCTTGATAGTAAGGTTCTCCTGGATTTTGATCATGTGAAGAATAGCCTGAAAGTTGATGATGAAGGTGAGCTATAGATCTTTTTCCTTTTTTTTTGGGTGGGGGGTTAATCCCAATCATGCCTCTGCACCTTGACTCTATTTATTAACTTCCATTTTCCCCAGAACTTCAGAAAATGAAATCAGATCCAACATATTTCATAAATGTGTCGGGCGACATCAAGCAGACGCTGCAGGAACTTGGAACCGAAAAAGGAAGGCAAACTGCACTTCATGGCGGAGGTGGTGGCAAGGCACAGAAAGAAAGGGAGGCTGCACTTGCTGCAATTTTAGCTGCTAGGTCACGCATTAAAGAGGACTCCAAGGAGAATGCAAAAGGAGAGGAGAAACCTACTCAGGCATTTAGTATTGTGGATGCTGCATCTGCCTCGGTACATGGTAGAAGTGCTGCTGCTGCGAAAGCTGCACCAAGTGAAAAAACTGCTGCTCGAATTGCGATGCACATGGCGGGTGAGAGGGCACCAGTGAATGCTAAGATGGTTAGTTATTAACAACTATTTATTTTTTACATCCATCCCTTCATAGTCATAATTCATTACATGCTTTTTCAATGAGGAAATTGAATCTTCTTATCCAATAATGTGATTAAATTAGAATTCAAGTACTTATATTGAAGAGAAGGCTAGTATTCTTGGTATAATGGTTTTTATAATATTTTTTGGCATCTAAATGATATATTAACAGAAGTTGTTATTACAGGTAAAGAGTCGTTACACTACTGGTGCTACGTCCCGATCCTTCACATCTACAGCTTATGATCCTGTTACAAAGAATGAACATGAATATATCAAGGTTGAGAAAAATCCGAAGAAGAAAGGATATGTACAGTTGCATACAACACATGGAGATTTGAATATTGAACTGCATTGTGATATTACTCCGAGGGCATGTGAGAATTTCATCACGCTTTGTGAAAATGGCTACTACAATGGAGTTGCTTTTCATAGAAGTATTAGGTACGATGGTACTGCAGACTGCAGTTGAGTAATGATTATCTGATTATTTGGCGTATTTACATGTTGAAGATGTGATAATGTAGGAATTTCATGATTCAAGGTGGTGATCCAACTGGTACTGGGAGAGGAGGGGAATCTATATGGGGAAAGCCCTTCAACGATGAACTGAACTCTAAGTTGCTTCATTCTGGAAGGGGTGTTGTCAGTATGGCAAATAGTGGCCCCCACACTAATGGTTCCCAGTTCTTTATTCTTTACAAATCTGCTAATCACTTAAACTTCAAGCATACTGTATTTGGCGGTGTTGTTGGTGGGTTGACTGCTTTGGCAGCCACGGAAAAGGTTCCTGTTGATGACAATGATCGGCCTCTGGTCAGTTCTATATTAATCTTCGTAATTTTAAACCTTTCGCTTTTAGAGGTCCCATGATTTCCAGTACTCGCCCCTGTCGTTGGATGTGTTTATTATGAAGGATCCTCCAATTTAAAGTTAATTCAGTCAGTCATGTGTGTGTTTATGAGTGATGAGCATGTTAAGAAATACAACGATTGAGCATGTTAATTTGTTACTTTCCACTATTTTGGACATTACTGTCCCCCTAGATATTTCAAAGTTACATCTTACCGTGATTAACCCAATACCCAACACATCCCATCTTGTGCAGGAAGAGATCAAGATAACAAGCGTCACAGTTTTTGTCAATCCATACTCAGAACCCGATGAAGAAGAGGAAGAAAAGCAAAAAGACGAGAAAAATGTGGAGGATGAGGAAAACGTTTGCCTCCACAACCCAATGACCTTTGCTTATACTATTTACATCTGCATTATTTGAGTAACTCTTTTGATGGGCTCAGACCTCAGATGAGTATCTTTGGTTTCATTTCAGGATAAGGTTGGATCGTGGTATAGTAATCCAGGCACCGGGGTAGCTGAATATGGAGCTGCTGCTGGTGGTGGTGTAGGGAAATATTTAAAAGCAAGGAATGCCCAATCCAAATCCCCTGCTGTTGATGCTGGTGTAAGACAAACTACCTCAACCAAAAAAAGGACAGCTGCTGGAGAATTCTAAGACTTCTCTTCGTGGTAAGAGTTCCCATGTATGCGATAGATATAGGTCCTTTCAGCTAGCCCCCTAAGTCACTGGTTTCTTGTGGTGTTTAAATCATACGAGTCATTGAAAAGGGGGAGGGGAGCGTGCAAAAGAAAGGGTGCATTTGACCCAGTTAGTATTGGAATGCATTACTGACGACAAAAGTTCATTTCACGAACTCTTTGAGTTGTTGATTATGCCCAAGAAGAACCCTCCACCTGCCCCAAAACCCAATGGGAGAGAGAGAGAGAGCAAAGAAAAAAGAAAAAAGAAAAAAGAAAGTGGGAAAAGCGGTATTCAGATACGAATCCTCTTTATCCGACAGTGTGCTGTAAAAATGAATTGGCAGATGCAAGAACTGCTCTTCTTCCAATATTGTTTATTTCCTAAAGCTGATTCTGTTGTTCAATGTATGAGCCTGAAAGTAAAGAGGGATCTGCCAAAAAATGGCGTGTCTGCTGTGAGTTAGTGAAGGAGGGGCACCCAAAACTTCAACGATTAGTCATGTTTGGATGGATGGATGGATGGGTACATTTCCAAGTAGAGTTCTCCTACTTCCACTGTATGTATCTTACTTTGCTCATTTACTGTCGCTGATTGCTTTCAAGTATCAACCTTATCCCACTCATTTTGGTCCACACAGATAGAGCTATTTTGAAGTCACTTGTAGTAGTTTTTACTCTGTTCATCGCCGTTGGCACCAGATACGACTATTCCTCACCTCAAATTATTCATGTTCAGTCTTCCTAATTTATTGATTGAGAGAATTAATTTCAATGTTTATGCATTTTTTTTTTCATTCATTGAGAGAATTACATTTTTAGTCCTAAGTCGTCTTTTAATATAGTTTCTATTTGGCTCCATGTTTTAATATTTTACATTTTTACTCCCAAGTTTCGAGTTTTGTTTCAAGTTTTGTTTCTGTTTGAACCATTAGTTTCAAAATATTACATTTTACACTTTTATTTTTTTTAATTTTACATTAATGCTTACTTTTGATCATTGGTGTTTCAATTTATTGATCTTTTAGAATTAATTTTAATATCTACGGAATTAATGAAAACTACTTTAATTTTTAAAACTAAATTTTAAAAATTAACATAAACTAAATGGGTATTATTATACTGGAACCAAAAAGGCTGATTATTTTATTTATTTTTTTAATTTAAGAGAAAAATACGTAAAACACTTTTGGCTTCTATTGGGTTGTCGTTGGGACACCTTGATGAAACTTGCACTTTAATTTATTAAAGAAATTAAAATTGAAGGTAAGTATGAAATAGCTTTTGACTACAAAATATTATAAAATTAAAGTGACAGCGATGGTTTGTTAAACATATCAATTATATGTATTTTAAAGTTTAATTAGTTTCACGAATGGAGTAAGCAAAATGCTAATTAAGTGATAATAGCAATTAATTATTAGTCAACGAATGACATTATTTGCATAGACAATTAGTAGTCCTTAATCAATTTTATATTATGTATTATTGATGATTAAATTACAAAATGAAAGAGCATTTCCAAAGATTGAAATGTTTTGAAGTGAGATTTGTTGATTTTGGTTTAATTATTTAATATGGACAATGTGTATTGGGTGACATCCAATCCATAAGCATTCCAAAATAATTTCAAGAAAGTAGTTGATTTTCTTACCTTACTTTTAATGTTTCTGTTGAGGTGCTGTAGTCCTTAATTTGGCTTAACTAATGCAATTGCATATTTTCCCATAAAACAATAATTATTTTTCCCCAACTCCCAAAGCTTTTTTACACCAATTCACTTTCTACTCATTATGCCTTGTTTGTATTAAAGTTGACATTTTTTTTTTAAAATTTAAAATTTAAGATTGATTTATTGGTATTGTGTTAAGTTTTGGGAAAATGGGCAAACTTTCGAGAATAAAAGATATTTTCCCATAATCATTATGGATATAACAAGATAAGATGGAGGTCTCAATAATTCCACGATCTAACATTTTAATTATAAAATTAATTCTTTTAGAAACTAAATAAAAACTTATTATCAACACTTTTTTGAATTAAATTGAAGCAAAATCCAACACTTTTCATAGGTTAGGGACCAAATATAAAACAAAAATGAAATCTTTTGAGGATAAAAGGGGTTGGGGTTTTGAAACCTTTAAGATGAAAAGGTGGGATAGTTGAAAATCATGCGTAAACACGCTTTGGCTATTCTCTCTCGTCTCACATGCACCTTAATAAAAGCATCTACTTTATATAATATATATATATAAAAGAAAAAAAAAATATTATATTGAAACACATAAAAGATTGAGTCGAAGTGAGGATTAAATTCAAGAAATATATGATGTAAAGAAAGATAAATGATGTGAAAAAAGAGATGGAAATGGTGGGGTGTGGTGGACAACATAACATAGTTTCTAAAAATGGAGTGTCCACCCAATCATTCATCCACACAACAACGACAACAACAACCATACATTCTCACGTAGAATGAACCATTCACTCACACCAATCTCTAATACATTCATTATCTACAAATGGAGATTCCAACATAAAAACAAAAATGTCGTATGACCTAAAGAGAAAGAAAGAGACCATTTTTGTAGGTAGATGAAGCACAGAATACTTGAACATGAAGGGTTAGAGCGAGAGGAATATGAGCTAAAAAAGGGAAGAAGAAGAAGAAGAAGAAGAAGAAGAAGAAGAATGGTTTAGGGTATTTGGAGAAACAAGACTAAGTTGGGAAAGCATTCACTAGAAAGTGGGGGAAGGGAAGGGAAGGGAAGGCAGAGAAATGGGAGTGTGTTGGTTTGGTATATGTGGTATATGTCTATGATGATGGTGGTGGGCTTGATGATGGTGATGCACGCCGGCAGCTTTACCTTACCAAACTCCAAATGGCACGCCTGCTGCCTCCACTCACAAACCCAACTTGTAATAATAATATTAACTCCTTTCTCTCTTATTCTTCTTCCTCCTCAAAAACAATGAAAACAAAAGCTAATCCTTTTTCTCACACTTTATCATCTTTTTGTCAGCCAACAATTCCATTTCTCATCTCTTCTTTTCTACACACAATCCCAACAAATATGCTGAATATGGGTTCTTGATTTGAGATTAGCCCATAAAAAGAAGATCACCTCCCACGCCTTGCTTTGAGACACCACACAAGTTTGAACCCTTCCTCCCCCTCATTCTTCTCTGTTTAACCAACTTGTTCTATGTCCAAAAAACTAGAGAGATTTCGAGTTTTTTGATGTGGGTCTTAAATGGATACCTTGTTTCGGCTTGTCAATCTCCAATCTGAGCAATCTTACAATTCCAGCAGGACCAATTCTAGCAGCTCTAGATCTTCCAGACAGAACCAATATCAGTACCATCAACAGGACGACGACCAAGAATGCTACAACCTTCTCATGGATGACGAAGATTTCTCATCCTCTAGTAATTCTAGACAATACTATAATCCATACCATCCACACCCACCTTCCACCGCCACTCCCACACCCATCGATCAATTCTCATACGTCTCCCCCTCTCCCGACATCAACTTCGAATTTTCCGGCAGGTGGGCTGTCGATATTCTCCTTGAGACGGCCAGGGCTATTTCTGAGAGGAACAGCGCCCGCGTTCACCAACTCATGTGGATGCTAAACGAACTTAGCTCCCCCTATGGGGATACGGATCAAAAGCTGGCTGCCTATTTCCTGCAGGCCTTGTTTAGCCGCATGACAGATTCCGGCGACCGTAATTATTGCGCTTTGGCCTCTGCCTCAGAGAAAACATGCTCATTCGATTCAACTAGGAAAGTGATGCTCAAGTTTCAGGAGGTTAGCCCCTGGACCACTTTTGGGCATGTTTCTTGCAATGGCGCATTAATTGAGGCCTTAGAAGGCGAATCGAAGCTACACATAATCGATATCAGTAGCACGTATTGCACTCAGTGGCCTACTTTGCTAGAAGCTCTCGCGACTCGTACGGACGACACGCCGCACCTTCGTCTCACCACGATCGTCACCACCAAGCCCGGTAATGGAACCGGAGTGTCTGCATCTCAAAAAGTAATGAAGGAAATAGGTACGAGAATGGAAAAGTTCGCTAGGCTTATGGGCGTACCTTTCAAATTCAGTGCTCTGTACCATTCTGGTGACCTTTCGGAATTGGACTTCGCCAAATTAGATATCAAAGAAGACGAGGCACTTGCCATCAACTGCGTCGGAGCCTTACGTTCCATTGCGGCGATTAACAACCGCCGAGATTTTTTGATTTCGTCTTTCCGCAGTTTACGGCCGCGGATAATCACAGTGATAGAAGAGGAAGCCGATCTCGACGTAGGCGTCGATGGGACTGAATTTCTGAGAGGTTTCCAAGAATGTTTGCGTTGGTTTAGGGTTTACTTCGAGACATTGGACGAAAGTTTCACGAGGACGAGCAACGAGCGGTTGATGCTCGAGAGAGCTGCCGGTAGGGCAATCGTGGACCTGGTGGCTTGCTCTGCGGCCGACTCGGTTGAGAGGCGGGAATCGGCGGTGAGGTGGGCTCAGCGGCTGCATGGAAACGGATTCAGTCCGGTGACGTTCAGCGACGAAGTATGCGACGACGTCAGAGCGTTGTTGAGGAGATACAAGGAAGGATGGGCAATGACACAGAACTCCGACGTCGCCGGAATATTCTTGACGTGGAAAGAGCAGCCGGTGGTGTGGGCCAGTGCATGGAGACCTTGACCAGAACTAGTTGGATCATGAAAATGGACCGGTTCGGTTCGGTCAATGACTTTTTGCACATGCCTGAAGGACGGGGGAGATTTCGGTAAAAGACCGTGTTTGGAAAGAAAAAAGAAAAAAAAGGAAGATAAATTAAATTATCCGATCTGAGTGATTTTAATAGAATTGAGGCACATTTTAATTCTTGATTTGTCACTATTTCCCATTGATATGAACCTTTTTTCTTTCCATTATAGAAGCTCTTCGTGAATATGAATACAATGCACCATGCATAAAATATCGCTACAATAGGCTTTATATTTTATTTATTTTAGAGGATTATTCTTTCCTTCCATATATTACGTGAAAAAAAATTGACCAGATCAGGATAATAAAAGTTCATTTCCCTTCTAACCATTAAGATGTTTTTAATTGTATTCAAACACCCAGCAACTCATATGTGTGTGCATATAATATAGTTAAGTGGATTTGAAATAAAAGTCTCATATGTTTTTAATTGTTCGACTGTGTAGGAAAATGACCACTTTTATAGAAGAATCATTATTAAAAAGAAAAGGATCCCCACAATCGTCACATTAGGAAGAAAAGAGAGGTCCAAATTTAGTAGTGGAGTTAGTGGAGCGAGATTTTGTGATAAGACGATATCAGGAAGCAAAATGGCATTGAGAAGCAAGCAAGCTAAATGATATTAAATTGAGGATTAAACAATCCAAATTGGAGGGCATGAAAAAGCAGGAGAAGGGTAAAAGAAGGCATCGGGTTTAGGGAACTTAGAGAGCCTGAGGAGGAGGCTTTGGAATCTTAGGACGGCCGGTGAGAGTTGAGTTGTCTTTAGGGGAATCTCTTGCAAAGGTGTTGGCCCATTAGTAGTGGCACAAATGGGTTGTAGTGGCCCTCGCCCTGTCTTTCAATTCTCTTTCTCTAAATTTATGTATTTCTTTTGGCTGGAAACTTTTGAAAAAGTCTAGGATCTTTCATATGGAAATTGACAGAGGAAGGGAGGAGGAGGGTGTTCTGGTCTGCTGTTCTTTATTTAAGCCATCAGTTTTCTTGCTTTTCCATTATGGCCCCCACTAAAGCAAAAAACCTCTTTTCCCAGTGACGCTGATGCTACTTTTG